CATGTAGTTACATGGGACATAGTAGAAATCAGGAAGTGTTATTTTTTGTCTTTCCTATACGAGTAGTTTAAAAAGTAGCTATCCGACGGGTCCAGAAAAGTAAGTTATCTCAATTCTTTGGTAATCCTAAAATTTTATGCAACTTACACTACTCATCAAGCAAGCATTGCACAAATAGTCTTTGAATGGCATTTTATATATCTTTATTTTAAGAAATTCCCACAACTTTGACTGAAATTATGTCAACAGATAGTTTTAGTTACCTAACCACTTTTTCCTAGATACTCTTGCACAACTGAATTACTTTTATAAACTCCTTCCTAGCTGTGCCACTTTTTTGTGCCAAATGCTCTGTGCCTCAGTTTCCATGTTTACAAAATAAGACAGTAACTATACGAGTCCCACTGAGTTGTTAGGAGGGTTTTTAAAAAAACATAACTCGCAGAGAATGCTTAGACTAGTGTATGGCACGTGGTAAATACTCAGTGAGTGTGTGCCACAAGCCATGCTATTATTATTATTACTATTGCCACTACTATATTTAGTCCTTCTAAAATAATGTTTCCCAGGAAACTTCTTTGGTATTTTGTGAGTAGGTGATTGTGTCCTACTGATCTGGCTCAAGAGTAATCTTTTTCCACATTACCCCCATGGTCCGTAGCTTCTAGCACACTCTCACAGAATATTAATTCATTCTGCTTTATAGAGTGGCTGTGTACTTATTTTTCGTTCTAAGATTGCCTCCTCCCTGAGGGTAGGGATGTGACTCTGCCTTCCTTCTGTCCCTCCTGGTGCCTACTTATTGCTCTGTACAGGGTATGGCTCCAAACCTGCTTGTTGGATGATATTGAGTGAAGGAAATAATGACTGCACATGGGGCTTCACATTACCTAAACGCACTGTTGAGCAGCAGTATAGAATGATGGCCCAGGCCAGTGACTTAATGTGATTCAACGGGGCCATTTTCCTTTTTTTTTTTTTTTTTAAAGATTTTATTTATTTATTCATGAGAGAGGGAGGGAGAGAGAGAGAGAGAGAGAGAAGCAGAGGGAGAAGCAGGCTCCCAAGGAGCAGGGAGCCCGATGCGGGACTCGATCCCAGGACCCTGGGATCATGACCTGAGCTGAAGGCAGATGCTTAACCATCTGAGCCACCCAGGCGCCCAACGGGGCCATTTTCAAAGTAAGGGCCCAAGATAAGGAAAAGGAATGAAGATAGTGAAAGAGATCTAAGCTGCCTTTTAATAAACATACTGCAATCCTTTAGTGCCAAGGCACCCGCTATATTGGAGCACAGGATCATGTATCAGCAATAAAAAAGAGTCTAGAGGAAAAGTTACTCAGAATCAATCTAGTTCATAGTGCTTTTTTTAAAGCCAGCAAATAAGTGTGTCCAGGGTGGGGTACCTTTGCACATGTGGTTCATGGGCCATTGATTTTCTCCGAGGGCAGCTAACAACAACAACAGCAAAGCCCAGTCAGGTTATCAGGAGGTAAATTCCCGTTTTCCTCTCTGAGAGAAGTTTGCTCAATATTGTCACTTATTTCTCTTAATTTCTCAATTATCTCCCAAAAGGCAGTCACAGCACCGTCGGCCCCCCATCTCCCATTCTGCCCCTCTTGCGGAGCCCCCCAACTCTGCTGAGTCTCTGTGCAGGGCTTCTTCCCAGCCTCACGGTGGCAAACTCTAACCTAGTGTTCTTGACCTTATATAATGCCTGCTTCTTTTTGACAGACAAGACTGTCCTTCCTGCCAAGGACATTCTGATACCCTCTCCTTGGAGACTCTTCCTGTCTCCATTCCTGTACCCCCTCCAGTTCTTTCGCATATCCATATTGGTTAAGAGGACTTTTGCCTAATTTTACTTGCTAGAGTGTGTGTGATAAAAATCAAGGCTTTCTTTTCTTAAATGTAAAATATTAGAAGAGTGAATATACTTTTTTGAAAGTACCCAGTCTCTACTTTGCCCACCCCCACCTACTGAGAATCATTGCTTTCACCATAAACTCAGCAATAATGGACTCAGGAAATTGCTTGTAAAAAACAGAAGGCGGGAAAATCCTACCCCTTAGCGCAGAGTTACCGGTGGGTGCTACCTTTTCAAACTCTTTGCATCCTGGGGGACGTTTGGGCTTGTTTGAGAAGGAAAGGAGGGACCTTTCTTGGTCAGCCAGTGCTCCTCATCCTTTTATTCAGTGTGCATTTAATGTCTCTCATCCCCTAACTCACACAGAGCAGTGCAGTGTGTGGGAGACTGGGGTCTGTGTTCAGAGCTGAGGACCCAGGGGTAGGGAGGGCACAAACCTTGCTGTCGAGGAGCTTGGGAGAGCCTTTGGAGGGCCATCAGCCAAGCACCTCCCACTGCTCCATGCTTGCCTTAGTATTTTTCTTCCTTCACTTTGAAGGAAACTTGAGGAAAAACCATTCATATAAATCCAAGTCAAATAAAATGAATGTATTTTTAAAATGTCGCTCCATCCACATCTCGAACCTCCCACGAATAATGTGTCATATGAGTCCATGGTCTCGTTCTCTCTGTCTATAGATGTAAATATAATCTCCTGAACCAATTCAGTAGAGTGTCTCTACAAAGTTATTACATTTCCAGAATGTATTTGGTTTATGGTCTCCTTACTGGCTATAAAGAGCATGGGAAATCTAAATGCTGGGGCACTGGGATCGCCATGGGACCACAGGCTAACTAGAGGTATTATGTGAAACTATGCAGTGGGAACATAATTACTCCAATCCCACCCTTTCTACATCATATACTTTGACCTTCTGGAATGACTAATAGCTTCTTTCTGTTTTCCTAAACCAAAAGCCTCAACTGGCATTCTGAACCTATTAGACTCTGACAGTATTACAAATTTAACTCACTATACGATATTCTTCCTGGTTGGAAAGATATAGACAAACAGAGATATAGCAATATTAAGTAAAATAGCACCATAAAAATAACATTCTGAGAAATATTCCCAAATAAGGGTTTCTTTTAATCCAATCGTCTGCATATTTCATACTGATAGTAAGATTCAGAATGTATAAAGCATTTATGCTATACCAAGTACTGTGTTAAGCATTCTTTCTGTATATTTTATCTAATTTCATCATGGTAACTGTAGGAAGTATGAAGTAGGTGTCAATACTTTCTCTAAGCCTCAGTTTCTTTCTCTGTAATTTGGGCGTCTGTGATTTGCCTCAGGTAAGGAGCAGGAAAGTTGAAATTTGAACTTGGGACCATCAGAGTGCAAAGCCTGCCATTTAAAATACTCTGCTGTGCTGCCTTCCAATTATTTCACTGAGCATATGAGTATATAAGAAATCACTTAGGGTCTCAGCAATAAATTTAAGGTTCCCTGAAAATCAAATAATTATTTTCTTACTTTTTGTGGGATGAGCGTTACAAAAAGTTATGTGTGCCCATATCTCCAAAATCAGCAGATAAAAATACAAAAGGCCTAGGTAAATTTGAATTTCAGATAAACAATAAATAATTTTTTTACTATAAATATATCCCATGCAATATTTGAGACATAAGCAAAAAAATCTATTTGTTGCTATCTGAAATTCAAACTTAATTAGATATCTTGTATTTTATCTTAATAAAAGGGCAACCCTACCCTTAGGCATTTCACTCTGAGATTTTCTGTGCTCAGAGCAACAGGTGGAAATAATGCTTCCTCGGGGAGGGGGGTTAATTCCTAGCCTGTGGAGAAGCAATGCCTTCCCATTGGTGTCTCTCCTGGCCTGGCTTCTCTCCATGCCTGGGGAGTACGAAGCTGAGCAGAAGCCTGCCGCCCTCTTTCACACAGAGGTTACTTTTTGCACCACAGTGGGAGGTTGGTATGCTCTGGTCCTACCCACCCTCCCTCTTTTTTGGGGGGTGTGGGTGGGGCTCACTCCTGGAGAAGGACCATCTTCATGCACCTTATTTTGGTAGTGATGATTAAGAACTACCGTTCTACTAACAATTAGCAGGATTAATAGCAATAATCCAGACTTCAGTTCTGTTAGAAATGCTGTCAATCCACATAACTGCTTTGGTTCTATAGTTGCTAGAACCATAGCTACAGCGTGTGTGTGTGTGTGTGTGTGTGTGTGTGTGTGTGTGTGTGTGTGATGTTAGGTCCATTGCTCCTTCCTTTCCCACGAACTTAGGTGACTTCATTTTCCTCCTACTTAGCATCTCCCACGTACTGGACATGCCGTTGTGCGTCTTGGCTCAGGGGACTCTTAAATCACTTATTCTGGATTCATCCTCCTTTACCCAATTACTACATTTTGGTTGTGCTTTCAACATAAAAGCTATTGTAAGGTATTCAAACAGCAGCTCTTTGCATAACCATATCATCAATAGCATATCCTGATCATTTTAACTTTTGGGATGGGGCTTGATTTTCATCACAACTTCTTGCTTCGGGAATACGATGGCTCCCGTCTATTTCAAGTATCTGCTCTGCAGCTTCCCAACAGATTCTGTAGTATCCCATCACCCTCCGCCACTGGCTCACTCTCCCCTGTTGCAGAGAACCTTCTGTTTGATTTATGACAAAAGGATTGGTCCCGCAGTATTGTTTCCATTGTCCCAACATCACAGATGAGCAGGAAGCCAGGGACAGGGCACACGCATTAGGAGCCGTGGCTTGGCAAAAATGACTCTCCTGGGACATGCAAGTGGCAGAAAGTCACAGAAGTGCCACTGCAGCCCCAGGTGAGAGTCTAAGCAGCCTCACTCGGAGTATACAGGACGCAAGCACTTCTGCTAGTTTGAACAGTGACATGTTCCAAAGCCTCAACTCTCAACTCACGACGTCCCAATCCAACTTAACAAAGTAAAACTCTTCAATCCAAGTTTCTGAACGGACCTGGTGCAGGTGAAACTCTCAAGGCGGATGGGGGAGGGAAAGAGCAGGGGAGAGAGGGGGACGCGAGCTTGGCGCCCGCACCCCGCGGGGCGCAGGTGCCGCGGCAGGGTGACAATGGCAGGGACACTGTACCTTGGCAGCAGGCGGCAGCCTCCCGGGAGCCATGCGGGGCTCGCTCGTCTCGGGCGCGTCTTGTCTGCCGACCGCTGAGCTCCCTTCAATGTCAAAGGGAAAAGCGTTGTGGTTCCCGGCTGCCACGGCGGCGCACGCAGCGCCCCAGAGGAGCCACAGCGTCAGGACTGAGCACCGGGCTGAGCTCACGGCCATCTCTCCGCTGACATCCAGCAGGGCTCTGCCTGGGGCTCGGCGGCGGTTTGTCCTCGTCGGTAGCCGCCCCCCCGCCGTGGGGCGGCGGTGCCTCGCTTGCTCTACCTTCTCGGCCTCCGCCGAGTCCAATGTGGGAAGTCAAGGCGGCCCAAGGAGCAACTTAGTCAAAAAGGGAGAGGGAGCGAGTGAGCGGGAGTCCCCCCCTTCCCCTCTTCTCTCTCCTCTTTCCTTCTTCCCCCTCTGTTTGCCTCTCTCACTTTTCTCTCCCGCTTTCTCTCTCCCCAGAGGCTCTGGCTGAAGGGCGTATAGATGGATGAAGCTTAAGGCTGAGCATCAAAAGGCAGACGGGGTTGGGGCGAGCACTGCCGGCCACCTCCTGGCCGGGGCTGGGTGGGGACTGAGGGCTGCGCTGTCTTGCCTTCCTCCTCACATCCATTCGCACCACTCCCTTTCTACCTTCCACTTCCAGGCCCTCCCACTCCAACTGGCATTTCACACACCGAGCTCTGGGCCTTTCCCGGGCCTGCCCTCCCCCTCCCGTCTCAGTTTGGAGCCCCTCCAAGGGACCCCGTGAATATTCAGCTTTTGTGATTGCTTCCTCACATCTCTTATTTATTTAGTCAAGGTGCCCGGTGTCTTATCTGTATTTATGTAGATCTCTTATGTGGCCCCCTAGTTTGCAGGGAAGTGAGTGGGAAAGGGATTCCAGGGGCCGGAGCCAGAGGTAGGCAATTTCACTCGATGGCAGAGGGGGAGGGCACCCACTTTCTTGAGCGAGGTTTCTCATTTTCTAAAGATGGAATGCTTCACTCTGAGCTATCTTCATTGAGACTGGCTGGCCGCTGTCTTCCTCTTGACAGTCCTCACCCAGGGGGCTTGGGAGAAGAATATCTTTCACTGCAGCGCTGGAAAATGACTTCATTACGCAAATGCATGAACTTTTATTTACAAAGAACATCTTGTTTTCATCCTAAAGAGGTGCTTTGTAAGGGCTCCGAAACAAGGCTTGCAGTGTATGAGCCTGTCAAATATACTACCCACAGCCCAGGCCTCTTCCTCTAGGCCTGTAATCTCATGCCTACTACATCTGTGTGAGTCATGTAACCTTTCTTAGACTTTGGGTGAAGTTGGCTACAGTTGTGCGGGGGTGCCCCTGTGGATGGGTCAGTGGTCACTGCAGCCGATAGGTACCTTTGCTTACCTTGGCTTCATAATGGAGCTTTAAACATTCCTGCAAGACCCAAACATGGCTTGAAAAGGATTAGATGAAGCAACCTTAAAATAACACTCAAGTACGTCCCTAGATGTTTGAAATTATCCATAATCATGCAATAAAGCATTTTCATAAAACTTAATCATTAGCTCTATCTTATAGGACAGAAGTTACTTTATCTAAGAAAAAAACCCACTCATTTATTTTGCACCTACTATATGTCAGATACTTTGTATACGTTATTTTGTAACATTCCTGGAAAAGAGGACTATTATTTCCTTTTTACAAAAAAAAAGGGGGTCCTGGGAGACTAAGACATTTGCCCAACATCACACAGCTGGTAGAAAGCTAAGCTAAGGTTTGTACTGGGGCATCACTGATTCCAAAACAGTCTTTCACATCTACACCGCACTGAAACTCATGAAATAAAGGACACAAATCTGGAATAGGAGAGATGACATTCCCATTTTTTGAGTACTTTCTACGTGCCAAAAAGTTTGTGTAAATTATCTCATTTAATTTCATCATTGGTATAATCCCATGAGACAGGTATCGTTACATATGTTTGGTAATGGGGAAATGGTGAAAGTACTACTCTCTCATGCTAAGGTCATTGATTATTTTTTTAAGATTTTTATTTTATTTATTTGAGAGAGAGAGAGAACACAAGCAGGGAAGAGGGGCAGAGGTAGAGGGAGAAGTAGATCCCCCGGCTGAGCAGGGAGCCCGACATGGGGCTCGATCCCAGGACCCTGGGATCATGACCTGGACCAAAGGCAGATGCTTACTGAGCCACCCAGGCGCCCCAAGGTCATTGATTTTGAACAATAAAATGATATGAGACAAAGGTGTCAAAGCTGATAGAAACAACAATTTCTCATACAACCCCAAGTTATTTGTAATGTTTTCATTTTAAGATATAAAAATAGCATTGTAATAAACCAGTAAGCTAAACTATGATCATCTGCCACATAAACTCGATAACCCACTAAATTAAGTGAAAGTACTTAAAAATACTTAAAAATGTTGGTTCTTGAAGAGACTGATATTGGGAGGCAAGATGGCTAGGGTCTAAGAGGGAAAGATGATGTTCAATGATCCTGTCCCATTCTCCCTTGAAAAAACTTTAAGTAATAACAAAATAATAATAATAATAGCAATAATATATGCATCATATTCTGACTTCAGAGATAGACCTCTTCAGTACACAAAAATTGTTCACGTTTGTTTCCTGAAGGATTATGTCCTGTTCTTCACTAACTGTCAATCAATCACACACTTTGTATTTGACTTGGGCCTCTTCTCTCTACCTACAAGGCCATGTTCAGGTTTTGGGAAAGGCCTGAATGGTGGGGGTGGGAGTGTATTTGTCCAAGACCCATAAACTTTTGATTGTTGATTAAATATGTGCTTCCAATTCCTCCTCCTCATCTTCTTTTTGCAGATAAACTGTTATTTTTGAGGCCAAAAGCATAATACATAAGAGCATGGGTTTTGTATGAAATAAAATAAGGTTCAAATCATAGGTCAGTTTACAGTTCTGGGAACTTGGCACACACATAGTCTCTCTGGATGCCAGTTTCCTCACCTGTAAAGTAAAAGGGGTCAATGATACCTCTTGCACTGAATTATTATGAATAGTAAATGAAATAAGGTAAATAAAGCATTAACAGCCTGGCATATAGTCAGTGCTCAATATAGACTATTTAACTAGACTGTATTTCAAAGTCTTAAAAAAGAACAGAATAACTATTTTTAAAGAGGAAAAATAATCATGTTTATTTATCCTGTAGCTTGGGTAACCTCACACTGGCTGAGAATAGCCGTTCACATTTCTGGGCTGCTACGTGGGCCTTCCCCATATTAAGCATGAATGAGGCGGTCATGGATGATAGAGTGATAGGGCAGGGCAGGCAAGAAGAGAGCATGGTTGACTGTTGCATAGAAAGTTAGGAGGCAGTAGAACAAAGAATCATCTCCTCACCAGGGGGCCACCCCCAGACCGTTAAAAGCCAGAGTGTGGGAGGATTTTACTCCTGCTACAATGGAAGACTGAGAACAGAAGGAGCGTCTTCAGTGTGGCTGCTTTCTTATCACGACCCTCCCTCGTGCTCATCTCCTGAGACTGGGGCTGGGCATTGGCCAAATACTTTCAAGTTCATTATCTCCCTTGGGACTTTCACCTGCCCCGTGATCAAAGGAGTGCTGCTCCATAACCCCCGATGCACAGAAGAGAGCGCCGACATTAGGGAGGTGAACAGGTTAAATGGCAAGGACATGAAGCCAGTTAATGCAGGATGAGGACCCCACACGTTCCCGCTTCCAGACCCCTGCTTTCCCAACTACACTCAACTATTTTTAGTTCTGGCAGCAACAGATCTGGTGGCTTGGAGTCTTTATCAAAAGAACATTCTGGAATTCCCTTCTGAGTCCCCCAGTGGGTGCACTTATCAGCAGATAAATATCAGGGCTGCCCACTCCCTTCAGCACTTGTCAGGCCTGTCCACAGCATCCGAAGATCCAGCAAGGGTGTTGTTAATGCATCCCATATGCCCTTCTGTAAATAGAAAGTCACGTCAGATGCTATTTTGGATTTTTAGGTGCTAATCTGGGACATAATTAGGCAGGATTGTTGTGGGACTGTGTACTAGTGACAACAGTTTTGTGATGAAGTTGGTCAGAGAAGCAAGGGTGCACCATCACCTGCCATGAGGTCTCTGGCAGTCGGGTGGCAGGAAGGAAAGGTGGAGTGTGGTGTCTGACACCCCTCTCCTCTCAGGCTGCGCTTCTCCTCTGTGGACGACTCTGGTGGGAGTCCAGCCATGTGAGGAGGAACAACAGCAAGAGAGCTGGGGCGGGGGTGCCTCCTAAAAGCCATTCTTCCTCCCATCTGTTTTCTCAGACTTTTGTTCAGGATGTGGACAGCCTGTGCTATCTACGCTTCCTCTCTGGGCTCTGACACTTGTCACAGCCTCATTTGGCTTTTAACATGTGCTTTCTGCATTCTTTCCATCCATCCATCCATCCATCCATCCTTTATTAAGTTATTCATTAATTCATGTTTTCATTTATTTACTCTGCGTTTGTTGAACACTTCAGTATGGCTGGTTGGATGCTGAAGGAAAGATAATAAACACATATCCTAACTCTGAAGGAATTCCGAGTCCGCTGAGGCAGACTGTAAGCTGACCCCGTAGTGAATGCAAAGTGGTTAACAGGAATTCAAAGGCAAAGTCCAGATGAGCTGCTAATAAACTAAGTAGAACAAGGCCTTTCTTGGGACTCTGCTGGCTGGAAGAAGGGGGAAACCCTGCTGAGTCCTCTGTGATGAGAGGAAAGAAAGCTGCCATTTGCAGAGGAACAATCACTTCAGAGACTTGCTGCCACATGATGGGTGAGAGAATCATGGGATTCTGAAGGCTCTTTGGGTGCCGGTTCAGGGCACACAGCCGTTGCCTTCAGGGCCTGGGACAGGCTGAGGGAGAACAAAGAGCTCCCCACCCTCCTCTCACCCCGCAGCTTTTCCTCCATCCAGGTCCTAGTAGCCTAGGACTACAGGGGTCTTCTCTCCTGCCAATCTCAACACCGAGACCCTCGTCACAGTCACATGGAGGTCCTGAACAAAAGCCTGAGGAAACCCATGGGGGAAGAACAACTTCTTTTAAGTTAACAAAATGTTTACATTTCATTGTGGTGAGAACTTAACAGGACATAGACCCTCTTCACTGGTTTTGAAATGTACAATAACACTATTGTTATGTATAGGCACAATGTCCTATGGGGAAGAAAGACACTCAGAAGTCCCCACGCCCCCCCCCCCCCCCCCCCCCGCGCTCTCTTGCTGTTGTTCCTCCTCACATGGCTGGACTCCCACCAGAGTCGTCCACAGAAGCGCAGCCTGAGAGGAGAGGGGTGTCAGACACCACACTCCACCTTTCCTTCCTGCCACCCGACTGCCAGAGACCTCATGGCAGGTGATGGTGCGCCCTTGCTTCTCTGACCAACCTCATCACAAAACTGTTGTCACTTTTTAAACTTTAAGTGAAGAAAATGAAGCCCAGGAATGACATAATTGTGGTTGCATTTAAAGAATTTAAAATGTAGCAGATGTAATTATAGTCAAATTGGAAATCACAGATAGCAAAAAATGAGGAAATAGTGGTCACCAGTAATCATACCTCTCTGGGATGTAGACTTACAACACTGGAAATGTTTGGGAGTAAATACCTTCAGACTTCTGTTGCATC